TAACCGTACGTAGTGATTCGATTCCACTTCGTCCAGGTCTCTAGACAATGGCGTAATGTGAAAGGGCAGGTCAATTGAAGTGTAGAATCACACCGCCACAATTCGCACATGAAGTCTGTAGTTATGAGGCCAACCCATGCCAATCTTCGAGCACATCACACACACACAGCACTATCGTGACGTGGAAGTGAATTTTTAAGGACACTTCCCCACCAACCCAACAATGCGTGTTGATGCAACACTAAAGTCGGTGATTTTGTGCCTCTCTGTTGGTTGTAACAACTGCTGCGCATGTCTGCACGATAAGAAACGCAAGTGAGATCAACAGAAGCTGCACGGGGATTTGTTGTGTGTTAAGCTTTTTGACTGATGTCCGCTTCTAAGAACAAAGGACGTGCATGTGTGCGCATGCTTGATTTCTGCCGTCGTCGCTCAGGTCTTCATGCATTTCTCTAGGTATGCAATAGCACAAAACTGATAATTTGGTGTGCAGACACTAAAAGACAGGCTTTATCCAACGTGCACCTGTGTCTGACTGTCCACTCAGCAGTCGAGTGTCTGCCGTGTTGGTATACCTCAATTCACCGCACCTTCGGCCTCACACACAGATGAGGTGTGTGCAAGGCGCCAAAACCTGACTTATCCCACCTCACTCAATTTCGCCACGTGAACACAAGTCTGTGAGTCGTCGTTAAGGAGAGAATGCAAATAGGTAGTGGTCAATACCGAAAACGATCAAGTGAGTGTAGTGGATAGGAGTCTCGAGTTGGCCATGAAACCTGTTGCTATCAGTGCACAATCCCTGGGACACACGTTGCCGTTGTTGTTAGGCAAATCTCATAATCAGAATACTTGGGTATTGGAAGCCAGTTCGTGTGCACGTGTGCGTGCGTGTGAGATAAAAGGGCAATAAATCACACAGACTAATGGCCAAATGCATTTTTTCGCTGAGAAGAGATGTGCTTCACGGAGATGTGCCTGGTCGGCTGAACAGTTTGCATGGCTGTCAGTTTTGTGGATTGCTGATGAAACAGCGTAGCCGGTTGTACCACGCTCTTGTGATGTCCACTTTGCTATGAGAGCCTGTGTTCATTGCTGAGCGTATTCATATATTGCGTCATATAGAGCACTAGGTACAACCTTTGTTTTCCCTTATAATTAATTGGTTTTTTGCTACTCTAGTAACGAAACGTTTGTTTCGTTGTTAGTAATTAAGCTTACGCAATGTGCTTTTCTAATTAATCAGTGTAATTTAAAAACTAGCTATATGTCTTTTGGTTATTGCACACTAATGTTTATCGTGTAGCTTTTAGTAAACCTCACTTCCAGAAATTTCTGGCTTTACAGAATTTGAAATCAGTTTCGGCAGACATCTGAAAGCAGAGCAATGGTATAGGATTTTAACCTCCGAATATACCTCTTTTCTAAAATCCCTGACTTTGTTTAGAGAAATATTAATAAATTATTACAACAGGAAATTAATTAAGAGAAGAATTTATACCGTTTCTTTAAAGAATTACTTCTACTAGAACTGATTAGGTTCGTCTCCCCTAAAATTTGCATTTCAAACGAACATGGCTGTTTCATTCTCGGTTTTGCCTATCTCGCCGCCATATTACGCAATTTAATTATACAACGTGCAGAGAAAAATTAGCTTCAGAAATAAGGCCTGTGATTTTGGGAGCCATCACACAATTTTTGTTGATGGGTTATTTTTAATCATCGGCGTATCTTGTTTCGAGTCATACTTTACAAATCCATAATAATTCCCCCAAGCACGAACTGTTGAGAGCATAAATAATAATCCTACATGCGTCTTAAACCTGCATGATTACGGCACTAAGAACTTCTTAGACGCAAACAGATAGCTGGTCTTTCATAAATTAGACCTTTTCACACAGAAGGTTTGTGATGCTCAAAACAAATAAACGGCGTTGTATTCAGGTTTTTCCATAGCACAACCCAACTACAACTTAGTTCACATTAGAGCCATGTGGTAACTTAAATATATGAAGCAAGAAGGTTAAAGAAAAAGGAAATAGAATCGATACGAAAGTAGAAGCATTCACAAATACATACGTTAGGAAATAAATCCGGGATTGTCAATCCCACCAAGGCACATGTCGGCAGACCAATGTTGGCGGGTTTCTCTACCCATTACTGGGTCAGACACATGGTTGGATATTCGTTCGGAATAAGTCTTTGACACGTACCCGTTTGTAGTAAGACAAAAAATATCAAAATGCTGAAACAAGTTTACACACACACGTCCTTCAAATAGATCTGTCTCTTGGTTAAGGAACATCACTGGGCAAATATTTTGACGTTTACAAAATGCTGCAAATGATTCACATTCTGTTAAATGATCAATTACACTTGGACGCTCGTAAATAACAAAAAAAACGGGTCTATAAGCCCGGTGTAGATGCTGTCTGAGATTAACGGATGTACTCAGAAGTGTTGATTTGGTTTTTCCACTCTGATGCCTCTTGATAACATCTGTCCTCCGAATAGGGGAACTATCGACCGATCCCACATGTTGGAGTTTTGAAATCGATGAGAGCACACGAGAGCCTGTCCGAATGTTACTCAGGGTAATGAGGTCCTCGTCAGGGGGAAAAATATCAAAGCACGATAGGCATTCCTTGGCTTCACTGTTACAATTTGTGTAAACAGTAACAGTATTTGAAGAAGCGTTTGCATAAATACTCTCCCCGGAAAGCAGTATATTTGACTCCACGGTCGGAAGAACAATTAAATTTCTGTAACCATATATATCTGGTCGCTTAGTCTCCAGATCTGGCAAACATGGTGCAAGAAAGTGGGTAACTATATTTAGATTGTGACAGTTTTCACCGCCTACTTCGTTATGTCGAAGTCCGGGCCGTGTCCAAATATCACCAAGGCGCCAAGACAGTTGCTCTCCAGTACCAGTCATAGGTGATGTTTTGACGCATTTCATTTGTGAAGACGGTTTGCATCTAACATCGTGGAGTAGTTGAAGCGTAAGTTCACTTGGGGAAAAGGAGGTAATTCGCCCGATTTGGATAGATTTCAATAGCAAATCGGCGACGTAGTCTGCAGCACTATGCACGGCTTTGAGGCCTTGGAGAAATCCAATTTGATATTCATAGACTACACACATGTGCTGTGCAAATTGTATAAGGCAACGTTTGCGTTCTGATTCTGTAGTACTTTTCAGAAACAATATAACCCGATTTCGCTCAATGCCACTACACGAAGGCTCAGTTGATTCGTTTATCCCAAGCTTAGATATGGACTCGGTTGAGTTACCAGTGAGATTTAATCTAGGAATACCATCAGGATGGCCGTAATCAAGGTCTGAGTTGACGTCTGGATGTTCGGACATTGAATGTCTCTTATTTAAGAAGATCCGAGACAGAGGAAGACGCATCATAAACGGAGAATTTGTTAGCGAACGTACTTTAGGAGAACGACTTTGACAGGGAGAAAATGTAGTTAATTTCCTTTTTTCTGAGTTTGGTGCTTCTACACCACCAATTTGACGGTCAAATATAAAGCGGTCGCCTTCGGTGCTAAGACTTCTCTTATTCAGGTTACCACTAATCCAACCAGATGCAAGTGGGGATCCCAGTGACGAATTCGTCGAAAAATTCGCTTTTTGGACATTTCGCAGAGAACAAGAAGCCTGGTAATTATTTGACAGATGCCTGTCAAGTAGTAAATAGGCTTGCAGATTATGTTCGAAAGTTTTCGTCAGTCGGTTGACAAACCATTTAAGGTGAAGCAGCACTTTTGCATGATTAAGAGCAGGACTGTTTAACATAATGTAAAAATTAAAGATAACAGAATATGAAAAATAAACAAGTACGACTCGTCCTAATACTGGTGAGTGGATAAATGCAAAACTTACAAATCAGCGATAACATAAGAACGCTCCCAATGTTGTACGAATGAGACGGTGGTTATTTTTAAAAATAAAACAAAAATATAGCGAATTATTTAATAACATTTTATACGACTTAAATAACAAAAATAAATTGGATTTTTATAAAAAATTACAATGAATTATCTAACCTTTGCGAACGGTGTTCATTGTCTGATAGGTTGTTGCATTCTTTGTGCTCTCACGCGTTTTCTAGTTCCTAAGTATTTGTAAGTTTAATGGTACATGGAAAAATTTCTCCTACTAAGTTTTCCAAGGTAATTTGTGTAATTTTATCCCTTGACACCTTTTTTAGCTCAAAATGCTTGCCCGCCATTTCATTTCTAATTGATAACCTTACTTAGCTCTCTATAATATCGCGCTTTTCTCTTAAATCAAAGTTTGTTAATACTTTATTTGTGTTAGGTTGAGGTCTTTAACAGTGGGGCGTATGTGTTTCCAAGGTTGTCCTTTGTATTGTTGGTGAAATTTTATAAACTCTTATCTTGATAAGTAATGAAATAACTGTTTGAAGATGGTCGGCAGCCTCCAGTTTCATTTTGTTTGAAATAAATTCCAGTGAGTATAACCAAAATGTTCCGACTCCTGCCAACCTTTCTTCTAAGAATCACTTTTAATAGTTTGGTTCAGGATCATTTTGTCATGTGGTTACATTGAAGTAATCAGTCGAATTCCTGAGAGCAATTTGTCATCCTTTTTATTTAGTTTTACAAAACCTTATCTTACACCTGATTACGTTATCTATTTAGTGTGTAGGACGAATGTCCACGGTTTTTAGGTCGATGCTATCCATTGTGCTAGTTTGGTATTGGCTGTTACAGATAAATGTTTATTCTAGTCAACATTTTCGAAGTGTAATTCGTTTTCTTATGATGTTAGCACTTTTTGTATTTCTCGTCCCTATCTACTTCTTGTTACCATATTATTCGTAGAAAATCCCGGCAACTGTAAGAGTAAAAGTGTTTGCGGCCCGAAATCTACCAGTTATGGACCGGGCATCTTTTCTAACTGACGCATTTGTGGAGGTTAGTGTCTCTTTCTTAATTGTGCGAAGGTTCGCTTGGGTAACATTATGTTTAAAACTGATGTTATGCGTCGGACACTCAATCCCGAATGGAATTCGGATTGGTTTTGCTTTGAGGTAATTCTAGTATTAGTTACCTAATACTTTATAGCTGAGTGAAGAGGCCTTACTGGAGGAAACGTTACAAGTTCGCGTTCTCGATCACGACACATACAGTGCTCATGATGCCATCGGTCGAGTTTACTTCAACCTTATGCCACTTTTTCAAATGGATCAGAAACGTAGTCTGAGTGGATGGTTCCCGTTGTACGACACCATGCATGGTACTAAAAATAAATCATATTTGAACCATCGTCTTCCCCTATCTTGTTTAGGGATTCGTGGGGAAATCAAGCTGGCAGTTCGAGTCGATGTTTTATCGGACACCTACAGACAAAACTTCTCGTCACTCGGTGTTAAGTTCTTTTTCAGTAAGTTAAATGCATCCAGGGTTATTTCATTGGGTCTGGAAGACCTATGTGGGCTGTAGCTTTAGTGGCTTCCGTGATTTACAAAACCCTTATAGTTCAAAATTAAATAAACTCGTATTTCACAATTGCCAGGCTATTAGCCCATGGATTCGTATCAAAAAAACTTTCACATGTCAAATAAAAATCATACGCAATGGGATCGACTGCGTTTTGTTTAATAAAGTGGTAAGCATTGTAAAAAATCCCGAGGAAGTCTAATTGTTCAAATTTGATACATAATGTTACCTTACGTCGTTTGTCTTTAGGCAGTCAATGCCATAGTGTCTCTAGCTGACTTTATTAATTAACATTCGACTATTTCATTTACTAAACACATAACCACGTCCCTCGGTTTAATCAACTTCCGTACATCTGGTAACGACCCTTTTATTTCAATATCGAAGCTTACGTGCAACAAAAATTGCCTTTGTATTGCGTCAGTTGCATCTACAAGCGAGATTTTCATGCTTGATTCTCCCTGCAATTTTTCTGAAGGTTCAGTGATCCCTTCCGGATACCGAGTTATCCGTCTCATCGGCTTCGTCCATGAGTTGATTGTGAACGATGATCCTGAACATCAGTGGATTGAGAAAATACGCACTTCTAGAGCTTCAAACGAGGCTCGGCAATGCCTCTTCTCGCAACTAACTGGTGAGCTGCTTGCGTATGCCTTATTAGTTCGTGTTCGGGAAACGGTTTAGTCAGCATCCTTGTCTACATCTTCTTGTGTCACTTGGCCATCGCACTTTCCTGCTTACACTTCCAATTGAGTTGAGGTCGGGAATGTTATGGCGACTACATTGTGTCCGATTGGCATCGCTGATACAGCCTGCATAAGCCTTTACACGAAGGGAAGCCGGACCCTGCCGCCCTCTTTTTTCCCTCATGTTGCTAAAAAAAACTTGCGAGATTCAAGTATAGTGATTTTTTTTACTCTGAGAGTATATACCTTAGGTGAGTAACTCAAATGCGTCTCGACAGCCGTTTTCGCTTTACTGTGTCAAGTTTTAACTAAATCCATCCATTCAAATACCTGTTAGCACATTATTATTTGCTTAATTCTGTCCTTTGGACAGAAACCACCGACATCAATTCCAGAATCTCATCATTAGCCAAAGCCTCGTTAATCGCTTTTAGTCTACACTGATTCAAATATCGTAATTGATCTGAAAAGTGGCGCAAATCAACCTAACGATTTCTTCATCATGGGTCAGGTGGTGTAAAATGCTTGTAGCCTGCTATTGGCTAAGATTCTGACTAACCGTCTAGCATGTAGGCGAATTTGCTTTTGTCCGTTCGCAGAATAACACAGCCTTTTGCAAAAAAAAGTTGTCGCGCTTTTTTCAACCAGAATTTTAAGAGATTTCTTCGGTATCTCATTCTAGTGTGGTTATTTATTTTGTTGCAGTCAAATCAACCGTTAAATGCTGTCCGGCAAATGCATGTTAGACACTTGATTAGTGGTAGCATCTAGCAGTTCATCTCAGTCAAAGCTTCCTTTAATCATTAGCGCAATACGAGTAAGTATAGACGCTGCGAGTCTTGCATTAATGCAGTACCTTGATAAACTGAGGTAAATAAGCCATAAGAAGTTGGTTATATTACGTTTTTGCAGAAATTCACCCGATCCTTTTTTATTATCTGATTAGCCACTGTGAAAATCTCTCCTTGCTAGTTATCGATTTTATCGTTTCTGCTGCGGTGCCAAATTTTTCGTTAAGTTGACGAACTGTTCTATTTCTTCGCAGATCTGAAAGCTGTCTCTTCTTTTTTGCAAAAAGCAAATTGAAATTTCATCTAAATACACCTATTGATACCAAAGGGTTTATTTGCCTTCATATTTTTACCTAGGTGACCTTCAAAGAAAGATAAGCAGGGTTGTTCTCAACCTTGGAGGAAATGCAGTCATTGGGTAAGGTGTTGAAGTGTCGTTTTTCACTTCATATCCCTAAATTCCGTTACATTCCTCTCATCTGATCGTCCACGTTCTTGCCTTCATACGTCCTTACTTTCGACCGATTGCGACACTATTCAATCTTGAAGATAACTTGCCTTTACTATGCTCCCAGCATCTCCAGGCTTCCATACGTCCAATGTTCTAGTTATTATGCTTTTAAGAGTGTAAAGATGTAGCACTCATGATTCAGTTTGTATCTTGAAGACCGTGATTTGTCTAATGGGCATGCATCTAGTGCAATGAAGTCTGCTTGATAAAATACTTGACCATTCTACCATGTGTTCCACTTGTACACGCCTTCGCTTCTTCGCTTTCAAATCTAGCCTGTGTTGAGAATCGCTTCGGTAAAACGTTTACTACCCAAAAAAACACTTTTGCTGTCATGTGACTTGGGTGTCCTTGATGGCTCAGATATTAGTTTACATCAACGTTAATAACGTGTTTGACTTAACTTCAGCACATGTGTTAATCAACTGCTTTTGCAAACTTGCTGGCATTATTTTGAATTTGTTGTGCGTGTATTTTACTTTTTTAGCGCAATTTTCATTCCAACTTGCTGCGTGTTTTGATAAAAGCATTATCATTCATTAAAAATTTTTTCAGGTTTTGTCTGCACTTTGACCTCGAAGGTGACACAGGCATAGTGGCTCGAGCCACCGGGACCGCTGCTAAACTTCAGCCTTCTCCGTTGACCAGTCCTTCCGGAGCAGCGTCGGTGAAAAAGTAGGCAACGCACCTTTTTAAAGCACGCTCCAGCGCCTTGATTCACGTTCTCTTATGGTACTTTCCACCTTATCTTCAGCCAGCCTTTTCCCTTGGCCAAATGTTGCTTAAAACACGAGAACAGCCTTCCGTAAGTTGAATCTAGGTCACCTGAATTTAGTGCAAAAAACCCATGTTCGTCTCCTTGTTACTAGTAGTGATCTTTCACCATAGCGAGCGAACGCGAGTCGGTGTGGCCGTTTGTTTTACCGGGATAGCTGACCTTTGACCGAAGTTGGTCACAATGGGAACGTGACACGATCTTGAGTTGATCACCAAAGGTTGTTTGTGTTTGTTGCATCTGTGTTTGCTTTAATGAAGGCGATTGTCTGAATTAGAAGGCATTTCGTCAACCGAAAACATCCATGGTGACTTGGAAATAGAGTCAAACCACTGTAATTGTCGTTTTATTTTTTTTGCAGCCAATGGATGAGTAAGCTAACCCCACTTAACGGCATCTCTCTCAATGCTAAACTTTAACGTAACTAGTCGGTGCTTCCATAGATGCCCGGCAGATTTTGTAATAATTGACAAAAGCGACAGTTTCAGCTACGAGCAACATTGTGTGAATGGTAACTGAATGTCTTCGGCGTTTCTCGGTATTATTCTACTTTCGAAACTAAAATCTGCTTTCCTGGTACTCACGTACGTCTAGATGCACATGACATATGATTGTTTACTAGTGGCCACTTGTGTAGAATGGAACGCCCACTCACAAATTATCGCCTTAGTTGGAACCGGTAAATTTTTGAATGACCTTGTAGTCGCAAATGTCGAATGCAACTTTGTGCAGTTCTGCGAGTCCCCATCCCATCAGATTTTTAGCGCCTGCGGACATTATTTTACTTGGGACCCATTTACACTTTAATCCGTCGTGGCAAAGCTAACACATCCTCTATCCTCCTTCTCTGCCTTTATGCAACTAACGCTTCCCTAAAGCATAACTCATACGTTCTTCATAGGGCTTAATCCCCTACCGAAGACAGTTAATATTCGGTACAGCAATACTTTTAATATTGTTAATGGGGATCTATTCTATTTTCTATTTGAGGGGACGCATTATCAAATTGTTGCTTGTGAGAAGAGGTGTACGCAATTTGGCTGCCATATTAGTGCACGGTGTGATATCTTACTGTCTGTCTCTGCATTACTTTACTTTGCAGCTGATATCTTCTGGATTTTCAAGCTTGTCATGAGTGCTGAATTCACTCGTTCTTTTTAGCTGATGCTTCGGTGGAGGATCTTTTAGGAGGTTTTAACAGTGTTCCAACATCGTTTAGATTTTGTACTTTTAAAACTAAGGTATGTAAACATTGCGTCATAACCAATTTGGAGCTGATTAATATAGTTCGAGAGGTCATACACAGAGTCCTAAAGCAGTAAAAGCTTACTTGTGGTCTCTTTTGTTTCTGCAGTTATCACTGCTGGAACTTGTTTTATGTTTTTTTTTATGGAAGTTGTTGATTGAACTGTTTTTGTTGTGAAACCGATTGGGTGTGCCCACAGCAGATAAGAAACCTAATTTCTGTATTTCTTAACAACTTTTGCTCTTCTCCCACGCTCTCAACATCTGGCGTAGTAATTCCTCTGCTCGTGATTAACATAGATTACCATTTATTTGTTAACTCCTTTAGAAACGTCCTAAGTTGGTAACTTGAGCAGTCTTGGTTGCAGACTCTTTGTACATTGACAAGTCCAAAACGTCTGGTTTTGTATGAGATTGGGTAGAAGGACACATGGGTGAATCGGTACCTAAAATGTGATTTTCTTTAGTCGCTAAGCCTCATTATCTTGCCTAGATAGCTTATAGTCACTCCTAAAGTTAGTATTCGTTTTCTAAATCTATGGCCAGAGGTGGGTTATGTTGATTTAACTTACTATAAAGTAATTTCAGGCAACATAACGAATCAGAGATGGTCCATTTTATTTAATGAAACGACTGGCTACACAAACACACAGATCAGATTTTACACATTTTCAGCAAATTTGCTTAATATGAAAAATAGGGAACAACGATTTTAATCTTGGAAATACTGTACATTGTTTTCTTTGACCCTGCGCCACCTCTCAGGTAACGACTGATTTATGAATGCCTGTCGGAATGGTTGCTCTTTAAACACTACTTTTGCTCATCTAGTACCAGATATGCAGGTGATTTTGCATTCAAGACGACAAGGAGAAGACTCATTGATAATTGCATTGTGTATGGAACGGTACTGGCATTTAAACCCACATTCAACCTATTTACATGGACTGAGGCATTATAAAAGCGTCAAATTACGTGTAAGGCAGAAACGCGGCTCCATCTAGTTTCCTTAATGACTGATTGAAGTTGATGTCAACCCCAAAGACCTAGTCGGAAAGTCTGCTTGTATCAATAGCCAAAACATCTGATGGGATTCTCTTTTACAGGACTGTGGATAGGAGTGAGTCGGATCCAGTACTGGAATCATCTGTCACCGATAATCGTGATAGCAAAAATTGCGGTATGTCATTCATTTCTATGCTAACTGGCCCTATATGTAAATCGTAGCGTTAAAGTAAGCGCTTACAATGGCAGATGTTGCCGTGTGTTAAGTTGTTTGTCTGGCGCGTAGTTGTACGTGTGAAATTTTGTTTGCCTCAAACGAGGGACGAGAAGCTAGTTGCAGGCCTGGAACGAGGAGGTAGCTTCCGGCAGCAGGTACTGGTGTTCATTGAAACGAAGTCGCCTCTCTTGCTTAATGTGATGCTGAAGAGGCTGTTAACTGACTGTATTTTTGGTTTGGAGAATCCAATCGTCTCATTTCAACAGAGCGAGGTTAATTTTCACTTTGCGCGTCATATAATCTCCCTGATTTTCAGAATGCCTGTTCACAAGCTGATACTGCAGTTAATTAAATTTGGTATTCAGATTATTAATGTTCATCTTCTATCGTAATACAACTCAGGCAGGTATTTCCTTTTTATCTTCAAGCAACAAAACTTAAAACGCATTGTTTTAATATTTGATTGCCGCACCTTTTCACACAATCGATTGTGGATCTTTGTCTAATTTTCAGCCAATTGTTTCACCGAAATGTGTGCCATAACCACCCCGAAGCCACTCAGTGAAGCGGTACGTTTCTTTTGCTGCCTTTCACTTTGCAGCCAATTTTCTTGGATTGGAAATCTTAATTAGAGCCATTATTACTGCTGTTGCGCTACGTTACGACACGAGATACCCAGCGGGAGATGAGGTAACCAAAGACGGAGTCTCAAGCGTTTACTGAGCCCCTCAGACCGTCGCTGTGTGTCGCCTTTCATTCATGTACATTGGTCCGTCGTTTGCGTGAACTGCAGAGTGCATGAGTCACTGGGTGTCAACATGGAGGTTTGTCTCGGACAAACATTGGAGTTCATCGTGGTGGCCTCAGAGTTGGTAAACATTGCCGCCGGCCATGCAGGACCTGTGGGGATCGGAGGTAAGGGATGTTGTCGGTAATGCCGACGAGACAATCAAGAGCCGGGGCGAGTCACTATCCGAGACTGGCGCTTTCCCATGAGTCGATGATGTATGGGAGGTCCCACAACGCAAATTCCGGTCACGAAAATAACAGTAAAAAAACGTGGACATCTCCTTGTCCAAACAGTTGAGGCAATCAACTGTGTAGGCACCGTACACTGTAGTTGTGACCGGCTCTTTACTTTCCGATAAAGATCCTTTCTAATCGTCTGGGTTCTCTGAGATATTCATCGCTGATTGGTTGATGTGACTGACGGGTGGCGTCGTGCTTAATTAACGAGATCCACCGCCGCTCAGACAGGGCGGTTGCCAACGTAGGTATTCATTTTTTTAAATATCGGCCTTAATTACTAGAAAGAATGGTAGTAGAACAGAGCCACCATTTCAAATCTGCTGCGTTATCAAAAAATACCAACAAACATCATAAAAACGGGAGTTAAATGACAATAATTCTAGAGAAGGAAAGAAAGACAGTGCCAACAAGACTTGGCATTTATTCAGCCGCCAGCCAGAACAGATTAAAGTCGATGTGACAGCGGTCGACATCCGTACAAATGAAACAAAACAAGTGCGAGTTAACCTCAGATAACCGGCCATCAGTAATTTCAAGAATGTTGGAACACTCTGATAACACCTATGATGAGGCAAATTAATGAAATCGTCACGAAACCAACTGGACGCCATTTAAAAACAACGTGGAGTTTTAATGCATGTCAACAGAGTCAACCAAATCCCACTTCTTTCCTACACCCCGCTTCACCGCGCAAGCGCTTGTCATCACGACTAAACCCTGCAGCATTTCAGTATTCTACGGTCAAACTGTGACGGCCTAATTAGCGGTAATTCTGTTTACTTCGTCCATAGTGTTCTTTTGCATTACAAATGCATTACCATTACCCACCACGCGTATTTTAACCTAAACCAGCCATAGTGGGGGGTTCATATGTACGTTAATATGAGGTTGGTCACGTTAATTTAGTATGTTAACTGCTCTTGGTGTCAGCGGATTCTTAACTAACGTTCGCTTTCTTTCAACGCTGTTAATGTCAGATGGCCGTTCTCCAAAATTATTGAACCGTTGTTTGCGTGTTGACTTCCTCATTTCATAATTTTCGTCTTAAAAACAGTTTTTTTGAATAAGTTCGCGATGCGCCCTTTCCATTTCAGAGATGAAAGGGCTTAATGAGACAAATCTTCCTCATTTTCTTGTGTGTTTAATGTTTAATAGAAAGCGTAGCTGTTGACAATGCTTGTTTATTAAGTTCTGGTTCTCTCGCTCAGATAATTACACCGTCGTCGACTATGGCAGAACCATCAAAAGCAGCATGGTGTATGACTTAATTTGTCCAGATTTTTTCTTCGAGCCAAAATTTATGTTTAAAATGGATATGTTTTTGCGGTCATTGGTGAGTTTGCAAGGATCGGATGCAAGGTTTCAGAACACCGAACGACAAGTCTACGTGAGCTATAAAACCTCCCAGAATAGATGAGTATACGGTGGCAGCTGATAAGCAGCACATTCGGCACTGCATTTATGCAATCTCCACCAAGAAAAAAAATGCTTCTAAAGCACGGGAACCAATTTTGGTGTTCTTGGTGCCGACGTCGCGTCTTATGAAACGCGTAATTATGGTTGTAAAGATTTTGGAAGTGGTGTTTTCGATCTTAGTGATCAGCCGCGCCCCGAACAGCCTCGAAAGTTTGATGGCGTGGAACTGCAAACTCTACCGGATGTAGACTCAACGCAAACGCAACAAAGGTTGCAGTTCAGTTAGGAATTGCATAAACAGCTAGTCCCAAGCATTTGCACCAGATGGAAACAATTGAAAAATTTGGGAGCTGGGTCCCACTTGTGTTGGCCGAGCACAACCTAGGTCAACGTATGCACACATGTCTTTCACTGCTTGTCCGCCGGCAACCAGTGAGGAATTCTTGTAGAAAATTGTGACGGGTGATGAAAAGTATATTTTTTTGTTACGAGAGTCCCGAACGTAAAACGTTATGGGTAGATCCCGGGCAACCCAGTTGGACACCGACGCCGAAAGAGAACATGAAGTAGGTTCTCCTGTGCATCTGGTGAGACATAAAGGGTGGACTTTATTACGAAATCCTGAAGACTGGTCATGCGGGGACTGGGGAACGCTACAGCCAACAACTGAATTAAGTGAGCGAAGAATTTGATCAGAAAAGGCCATTTACTGGGCAAGAAGGCAGGCAAGTCATACTGCTGCATGACAACGCTCAACTTCACATTACTTGTGCGACTCTGAAGATCCTCTTGAACTTGAGATGGGAAGTTCTTCCGCACTGAGCATATTTACTAGACTTGGCCACATCCGACTACCATCTGTTCAGATCAATGCAGTACACCTTGGTAGACAAACGGCTGGAAGATATGTGTGAAATCTTAGATAACTTTATTGCCTCGAAGTCTGCAAGTTTCTTTCGCGATGGCATCTATCCATTACCTAAGAGATGACCTAATGTCATGGAAAACAGTGGAAAATATTTCCAGTATTAATTTTGTTATCCTCTGTTTTTATGTTAAATGAATTTGCTGTGAAATCTGTAAAAATTAAATCAAACACTTAATATGCTAATATTTGGGTGTGTATGTTTCATACTAAAACAATAAAAATTTACATTGCGAAGCGTGACACACTGAGGTGATATTCCACAAATGACTTCTCACGAAGCAAAACAATTACAAGGTAGCGTGGCGAAACCAAAATATGAAAAATATTGTAGTTAAAGGTCAGTATTCATTATAGGTTTACGATGGGCAATTAAAGTTGAGGCGATTCCCTTGCAATAACGTATACATTTGTATCGCTATAGATTTCGTTTATTATGTGACACTACTTATCAACATTCTTTACTTGCAGGAGTTTCCGTTTCTTACCATTTCCCATCCACCGTCGGGCCTGATTCGTCACTTTGGAAGCGCCGTCGCGGCAAAGTCGGTCAAGTTGTTAGACAAAAACGTGACAGGTGAGGTCGCCTCACTAACCCATCACTTGAGTTCTTCCATTGGCTCGGGACAATGTGTGCTAAGTTTTGTTTTTCGTAACTTGACGAATGAAAGTGCCACCGCGATTCAGTTGTTTCACGTTGATGTACAAAAAAAACAAACCGAGTGCTGGCATGGATGCGGTGTCACAAGCTCGAGACCTGATTAATTGTTCTGATCTTCATAAGTGATAGACAGCCTTTTGCCAATTACTATCTCCGATGCGTTCATATATTTTCAGTCTTTCATGCACAAATCTTTCTGTTGTTGGGTGTGTGATTTCGTAGTTTTTTCCCATGCTGCATGATTTTATACGTTGCTTTTTCTCTTTGCTCCACCCATATTTCCGGATTCCAGAAAGTAGCATTTTGACATTTCCATTGGTTGCCTTTGTTGGGAGAAAAATCCGCGGTACTGTAGAATCACTTGACTCTCCACGCCTATTTTTATCAGACAACGCCAGTTTGCGCGCAGCTTGGTGGCTGGAGCTTCGTAGCGAGGCGCTTACGCACATGCAAAATGTCGGTTGTGATGCTCTAATTGGTTATCGCGAGGAATGCGCAATTTACGAGGATGTTTGTGTGCTCTCCGTCTATGCAACATCGGTCAAGCTCAACCAGATGTGGATTCACGCCACCGCCATCCCTCAACAGGCTTCCGCACGGCTGTCCACACCGTCAACGTCATCAGCATCAAAAGAAGGTAGGTTTACGTCCACAGGTCCTCATTACAATAGTTATGATGGGATTCTCTTCTCGACCAACATGGCAACTCTGTCCTGTTGAATAAGTTGCTTGAGTGTTTTATTGCGTATATCACGTCAGCCAACTAGGTGCCTGCACTTTGTTTGCCTGCTTGTGCTGTTAAATTGTCGGTTATCAATCATGCTCTTTTATGAGCTCGAACTTTGTGTTATAGTCCGCTTTCCACTGCAGGTGGCAACTGAAGGTCACTGTGTCCCCGTAGAAAATGTCTACGTATTGGCGTGAAATTTAGAAGCGGAGACTGCTGTATTCATTTGATTGTAGTAAGCGTAAAATCCCTCAACTAAGTAAGCTTGATTTCCTGTCGTGTATTGTGTACTCAGGCAACTGAATTGGACAGAAGGTTCTTGCTGCATGTAACTATTCATGTTTACTGGAATAATCACGTGGTTCTGTATAACCTCCAGGTAATCAACTGTAATTTCCACATCAAACTTTGCCCACGCAATAAGTAGTGTCCTCGCGCTTTCCGGTTGAAGAAATGTAGTGTACCCATGTTTGTGAAAATTGCTTTGGCAAAATTTGCGCCAGTTGAAATTGTGGATATTTCGATGTAGTTATTGCGTAATTTCGCAAATCATGGCGTGAAGTTAGAAAATAGCATGTCAAATTTAAGGCAGGAAGCTTTTTAAGCACACGACGCTTTGCGAGTTTTGACAGGGCAATGATGTCACAAACGCCAAACTGCAGTGTCCCGTCACCAAACTTGTCTGTAAAAAATTAAGGATATGATCTGCGTAGCTTGTCATTGGGATGCAATAAAGCGACTATAACTAGAAGCTTGTACACGCTCTGCCTAGCGGTTTAGTCTCCGTTTTTGCCTTTATTAAAGCAGTTTTGTTGCAATTTAGTTGACCTTTATCACTTGAATACTGGCACACTGTCGTATTTGCAAGGAAGATGTTACTAGTGATCGTACACTACAACAGGCCAACGTGAATCAGTGTGGCCATTCGTTGTACTGGGACAGCTGACCTTTCACTAAGGTTGGCCACAATGGGAACGTGACGCGATCTTGAGTTGATCGCTAAAAGTTGTTTGTGTTTGGAGCATTCGTGTTTGTTTTCATGAAGTGCGATTGTGTGAACTAGAAGGCATTTACTTTCGTCCATACTGGTAAAACCGGCTAAACCAGTGTGTGCATTAGGATCAGTACTGAAATTGGGCTATTCGACGACTGAGAAATATTTTCCTGCCTACATCTGAACAAATATGTTTTTTCTACTATTGCCGTACTACATCGGTGAATTCTGTACGCTCTTGTGTAACGTATCTGAGATCGGATGCACATGTTGAGTTATTCCCGAGTTTAAAACGAAGTGCGAAATTCCCTTGCACGTCCATCTGTTGCAATTTGCGTAATTGAACTCAACACCAACTTAGCATGCATTTGTAAGGTTCGAGTTTGTGTCAGTCTAAAATTTTTGTTCACTTACATTTGTCGCAATCGTTAAATTTTGCACAATAATATCTTTTGATGGAATCTACTACATGCAGTAATAATAACGTGATACCTTGATTCAACAATCAACCTTCCCCGGTTATAGATTGATGCTTTCAATTATATTTCGTTGAGATTTCTCGCGTATTCACATTGATTGGACAAAGAGAGATAGCTTCTAACAGCTGGTAGGTTTCAATTCGTAGACTTATCGGAGCGAAAACAGGGGAATGAGGAACGCAAATTTGAAATCATCCCATGTTCTTGATGATAATCATTTAAAACCTTGTCCAGGACTTCTTCTTGATGCGTTTTAGGTTCAACGAGTGGCGGTGTGAGTGCCTTCCAGGCCACCCGCGAACATGGTGCCGAGGTGTCAGAGGACAATCTCAATGTTCCTAATCTTGACGGGGATGCGAAATTTTCTCCCCTAAATTGTGTCAGGTACTTATATCACCTGCAATCGCGCCTGTGGCTCTTCAGTTGAGTCGGTTTTTAACGTGGCTATGAGGCTTGCGTATTTTTCAGTTTAACGCATTCTGCATAGCGAATTTTTTTACCCCTCGAGATGAATACTGTCATGTAATTGATAATTCTCGAAATCGCAGGGTTTCTAAATGTCTTACAAATGGTAGAGGCCACAAAATCTCCGATTATTGTAAGCCTCTACCATGTCAATGAATTGTTGTGCCCTCTGTGTAAAAGGCTGAAATCAAGTAGATAGCATGGCTGCACTAGGGCCTAGAATGGGGATCACTGAAGTCAACATCTCATAGTAAATTAACTTCGGATGGAGATTAATTTAGTGGTAAACAGAACTTTCGCTTATAATCTACAAAACAGTCTCTGTGTTACCTCATGATAGAGTCCGTTTTAGGAAAAAAGGCTGTGCCCGAATCAAAAATGTTTACCAAACATGCTAACTGGTCATCCATATCACATAATTTGTGGAAACTTTAAATATGCGCGCCTTAGTGAATGCTGCAGAATGTTTTTGCCAAAATGTGCCCTTTGCGTCTGCCATGTAGTCTGAACACGCCTTTTCGAAGAATTAAATGCTTTGATGAAAGGGTTTGAGGTGATTTTAGAAAGTTTTACCTGTAAAATAACGCTTTCGACATCTTGTGTTGTGGATAAATGCGATTCCCCATTTGATATTTTCTCTAAAGCCTACCTTTAATGTATGTCCTTATAAATGCGCTGTAAGTTGAGATATATTTATCGTAAGACGACAGGCTTGCAGTAAAAATGCGGAAGTCGCCATTGCATTTAGAAATTTTATCTCAAGAACCTCGTAAAGTAATTACTTGTGTCCTCCCTGAATGCAGACCTCAACTTTCTTTTGTAATGCGAGAAAACTTTGAATGCGGCCCTATCACGCACGAGACTGTGCATCATGCCAGACAGGTAATGCTTAAACTATTGGTGACCTCAAACTCTCAGCCATTGCCATTTATTTGGAAGATTCTCTGATTTATTCTAGGCGGTATATTACTTGTTCTATTGTAATCTTTTGTCAGAATAATTCTTAGTGCTTTTAACGCCTGTGGTAATCATCCGTATAATCTTGTGTGCTATTATCCTAAGCTATTTTTTTCAATATCATATTTGTAATTTTCTGACACGAAACTCCTTTACATGTTGAGATACTTGTGCTAGTAGTCCTCATGTTTTTGGAGGCTCTTTTTTGGATCCCAGTTGGCTCTTCCATATTTCAGACTCCCTTTATCAGAGGAAACTGCCATTATCCATATTTTAGGGCTGATTGCAGCATTTTTCACATACCATCAATCAACCAGGCCTTGCCATCAAACAAGTACATGCGATGTCGCGTGTGTCTGACTGCCTCCGTTCCCGAATTTCTAATTTCTTCAACCGAGTTCCCTCCTGAACTACCAGTTATGGGGAGCCCATCATTTATACAGGTTGGGTAAGTTGTTGGCAAATAGAAGATTTTCACCATTCTACGAAATCAGATCCGTGAGCTAAGTCGTTTTTTCAAATGGGAACACTGCGTATGACCTTTGTCAACACCTTCATCCCACCGTTTAGTTTGTTGTACCCCGAAGCTTTGCGCACTAACGGATTTCACCACGCCTAGTTTTGTTGTTGCCCATTGCATGATCGTACTTGCCGAAGTTTCCCATCCGCCCATCCTATTAGGTTTTAAAATGGCAAGGCTTGAAACCTTTCTCAATAAATCCTAGTCTTAGGGTTGTATGCTATTGATCATCGTTATAAATTGCTTTTAAATTTTTTATGTATATAAAAGCACTTTTTCGAATTGTTATTCTTGAATATCTAGCATCAATGTCACAGGTACTCTTTTGGGTGCTGCTTGTTCACGTTTATTTCTGTTAGTTCCGTCGTGCAGTGTGGGTGGATGGCCGCAGACATTTGCAAACCAAGCTATGTGGTCAAAAATGTCTAAAGACACATGCTAACTAATCCGCTACTTGATCTGTTCGTACATATTCCGTAAATGCATTATTACCCGGGCGTTAATAACTTTAATAATTGCAGCTTGAGTCGCTTTAAAAAGGAAGAAAAAGGAGAGCCAGCTGCTAGAGAGATCAGCGAGGTTTGTTTTCCTTTTTTCCTGACTGCTCACCCCAAGTAGATTCTTCCACACATTGAATACGAGCTGCACTACCGACTTTTGCAGAAGCTCCGAGTATGTCCAAATTGGAGGTCAACCCATACGAAATTTTAGCTCAGAGGAATGAATGCAATTTTTGGATTATCCTTGCAACTTGCCTTCGGTGAGAACTTGGTCACAGTGCTGGCAGTACGTCACTTCACCCACGCTTTCGTGCTTATTTATTAATGAATCTCAACTTCATATCCCTTCCATTGTACCAGAGTGGCACAGGTGTCTACATTCCAGCTCTTCCCGGCTCATGGCTTCCAAAGGTATGCTTAATAACTCGCGTTAGATCTATGCTACTCTGGTTTGTGTCGGATTAAATCTATCAATAGGCCCATTTATCAGAGTCACAGCGCTCCGCATGCCTCCAATCTAGATTTCACTCAAATCTTTGGAATCTCGGACGCAGAATTAATTTTAGGTGTAAGTGGTTATATTCATCCAAAATTGGATTTTAGGCTGATTCCTTTAGAAAGGTAGAATTCTGGCACCGCCAGAAATTTCGGATAATTCGCAATTAGTTACCGATCTGAGATGTCATAAAAAATAGCATTGGACGTAGAAACACTAAACACTGTTCTTAAATGGTATTGGACTGTTGAAAACCCCGTCGAAATTCCAATTCAAAATCCATCTTTGCGAGGACTTTTAGGACGAATATCATTCTGGGCATCCGTCCTGTGAGCATGAAAACCCGGAAGAATCACCACCGATTTCAAAGGCGGATCAAGCAAAGGACCACGTGAGTCCTACACACATAGCCAAGCCAAAAAATACAATTGAGTTTGCGGGAAAAGTAGAGCACACATACGTTATCGACACAAGGGCTCCGGAGCCGGAAGAATTGAGTTTTCTACTCAACGATCCGCTGCCACCTCCTGGTTGGTTGATGTGAACGTCCCGTGTCTATCTACACGCCTGTTGTTAAACTCAATTTTTCCGATTTTTTAGGCATGCTGGTTATGACGACGGACTACCCCACAAACGGTGAGAACCGTGCGTGGTTTTCCGAATTTAAACCTAGGAAGTGTGTCAATACTTCCAGCGCTTCTAACTGGCGTTCCCTTCACACTTTTGTAAAAGTTCATTCAATCCCGAGTCTAAAGCCAGATGACGCGTTAGGGCTCGCATTCTTCAAGCCCTCAGGGGGTGGTCAAATGTTTACCGACACGTCCTCACCTGCTGCACACCACTCCTCTTCCCATTCCGACACGCCAACTAACCTCGCACTGATTAACGATTGCCTGACCACGTGTCTGCGTGACTGCAATCAACTCACCTGGTTCCACTTTCGCTGCCTCATGCCCTGCGCCATTGTGGCACTTAGGTATCGACTGAACATTACGGATGACGATGCAGTGCAGATACTCTGCAGCGGATTTACACTTTCCCCTTCATGCGAAGAGTCGACTCTGTTACCCAACCCACTGTCTGCGTATGTAAAACCCGAGGGCCAGAAATCTGCGACTTCGACGCGTAGAAGTCTATTTAATCGACCCAAAAATCTTCGTTCGATTGCGGAAATTGAAAAGAAGACACTTCGCCATCTAGATACCCTTGAAATAAACTATTCAAAAAAATCCGCCACACAAGCGTACTACAAAAAAGCGAAGTGGTGGAAGTCGTTTCCAAAAGAGACCTGGATAAAAAGTCAGGTGCGTCTGAAGTACCAGTAATGCCTATACCTGAAGTTTTTTCCGCAAAGCAAATTTGGATGAAATATATTTTCACTACCTGATAATATGTCCTGTTAGCCTGGACGAAGTCATATAAGTGCCTGGCTGCATTCTTATAATCTACGGTTTACTCTTAGGAAAATTCGCAATCGAGGAGACTGTCCAGCAGGACATCAGGGTCTGCTAGTGGTCCTAGCGATATCAATAAATCAGGGGGAGAAAGATGTTTATTGACGCCTCTGTCCAGTCTTCCCAACCATGAAGTGACACATTACTTGGGGAATTATAGCTTCTACTTCGTTCGGGAGACGACTGATTTGAGAGAGGTAAGTAGAGCACAGTACCTAACGACACTTGATCGTCTCAGTTGCTCGTCAGTACGCAACGGTGTTAGAAGCAAGTTGAAATCCACCAAGCCGTAGTGACGGCCATTATCGTTCTTTAACAACGCCTGAAATTTTTGATATTTCTACTTTTAGATAGGCGGCCAGCGCAGTTTCATACACGCAGCTGTAATGGAGGCCCAGTCGGTTATAGCTGCTCACACTGTTAGCCTCGGTGGCAATGCACTACTATCGTACCATGTTAGTGAACTATTAGTGAATCGACCAACTTCTCGAAATCAGGCTCAATGTCTTATCCATCTTAGTGGCGATATGGTTCGGTCAAAAATAATATAATACAGTCAGGCACCCTCTTTCTTCTATTATACAAATGAAAGTAGCACTAGCACAAGACGTTTGAGATAAGGCAACCACACACATCAGGATCCCGAATAAGGTTTGATCACGAGCCGCCTGGCAACGCAACCAAAACCTTCAAGCAAATGTCACTTGGAAATTGAAACCGACATGTGCCCAGAGGCAGGCTGATCGTAGCGATAACCACATTTAGGGCAAGCGCCTTTAACCCCATAGTCTAATTGGATGCAGGGTTGTCTGTTTTCTCACCACTATGCTCATAAGCACCGTAAAAATTTTCTTAGCATAAATGGAAAAGCATATGAATCTCCCTCAAAAGTATGTATTAAATTTTGGAACCAAAGTTGTTAGAAATGGGCGAAATACCACGAAAGCCTAGAACACCTATTGCATGTCAAGGTGTGCGTCAAACAAGTCGCGAAATTCACTTAGCAGGTGGCATTCCAGTTCTTGGGATATTGTCGTTTTTGATACGCGATCTACACGATCCCAGGAGTCAAGCACTGAGTTGCTTATGCTAAGACTTAGGTATACAGGGCAGGCGAGTCGCTTCGATAGTCGCATGGTTAGTGTTGTTTCCGGTGCACTTCTCGATGAAGGTACGGTGGAATTTCCATGAAACAGAGAGCAAGCAACCGGAGAATCATTTGAAAATGACCGCGGAACACTTAAGGAAAGGCCTAAAGTAACTAAAGAAATACAAATATACTCGAGAAAACAACTTCAGTGTCGCCTATCCATATGAAGAATGAGTCCGCTAGTTTCATGACCATTGCCTTAAACTGGGACGGTGGAGATGTTGAAGAAACATCTAGGTTCCGACATCGATAAATAAAGGGCTCCGTTGCTATCTGCAATAAAACGTACTTGAAAACAAACTTACCATTATGTCCAAGTCTAATACCTGCGCACACTAATGGTTAATTCAAACATGATCCCATTTTGAAGGATACGTAATCATTGCCTGTACACTCATAAAATAAGAAAGAATAGCTCTTTTTCATATAATATGTAAAAAAAGCTTTGGCTATTTTCTGATGCCTTATCCCAGTGACATATATAGTATTACGAAAAACCCCAGGTGATTTTACGATAGACAACGTAAAAAGTAGCTTTTTGCTGACCACTCGATCTTCGTACTATCAATAAAAACAACTTATGGTAATGAACCTGATAAAAAGATAATACAGCAAACTAAAAAAGATTAAACTATAGTTATGTGAAGCGGAATTTCTAATAAGTAATATTTACAGTTATTTAAGAAAGCACTTTTGTTAATCTCTTTTTAATTGTTGTATATGCGTCTATTAACACAGCTTTTTTTACCTGTATTAGAAAATGTTCGTTACAATTCCTACGTCTGTTATCTTCTCATCCTCGATATTTCACTTTTACTCAGAATGAAAATTTTGTAATTTCATATAGCTTTAACAAGCCACAACAAAAGCCATGTTTTAAAAAGTGTTGGCTGAAATAATTAATAGTTAAAGATTTAAAAATCATGGCACATAGGAAAAACTGAAATTTATATTAAAAAGGTTTAGACGAAGTTACATTATGGCTACTTAAGACTCAGTCTTTGGTTTAATGCATTCCACCAGCAATTGTACAATTTTTTTGCAATCTTATTTATATTATTAACTTTAGGAGTGGGCGCACAAAAACAACTTAATCCCACCTTATTTAAGTCATCGTAAATTGTCGCATCAAAAATTCTTGCTATCTCAGCGACATTTGTAAGACAAAAAAAGAATAATTCTGGTACTGAGGACCATAAATAATTTAGTTACCAGTGATTAATTATGTCGATAGCATGGTAGTATATCAGTTTCCATTGGGCCTCTTGACATTAATCTGTTATCGTATATGTCGACCTAAATTACACCTGGAATAATATACCGAATAATATACCTTACATGTTTATTTCATTTATCGCTCGAAGTTCATTTGAAATATTTGATTAAATCCATGCTCCCCTACCACTGAGGCTGTATTAGCTCGATTACCACCATGTATACAATGTATCCCTAGGTGGTTACACACTCTTTAGAATATTTATTTGAGTGTTACACTTTTAAATACGACAGCAGATATCTGCCTATCAAATCAATACTTTATGTTACAATTCAGAAGTGTAAAAACTTGAAATTCAAGGCCTGACAACGCCTAAGTGAGGTTTTATCAACCATCAAACAAATGTGACAGTATATATGGGAGAACAAACTTGTGGTCATTGAGTGGCTGTTTTGGAAAAACTGACTTTGTCTTCTTCGTTGAATCATCGCACTTATCATCGTTCTTATCTAATGTTATTCGATAAGTTACACCTGTCAGGCGAGTAACCCAAGCGCGCAGAAGACAACGGATTAGAGCTAGTTTTTTGCGAGAAATTTTGCGTCATCACTTTTAGGTGCTTTCTCTAACAGCTGTTTGAATCCCAGGATTTTAAGCTAGTGCTACCAAAACAATACAAAGAGGAGCACAACAAATCTACGACAACATAGGATATTCAAATGCATAGAGACATGCAATGCATAGTTTAGGTAGGATCCAATATCCCTGCACCTCGTGCAGCACTGTAGCATAAGTACAATTACAAAGAAATAGGCTTCATTGATCATCAAAAATCCAGAAACCTACGTCAGGCAGCGTCTGCCTGAGTCCAGCGCGCTGGCTACACCGCTGCTTATATACTAATCCATATTTGTGTGACTCTGGTTGTCTGCCTATCTTCCTCAAAAGCCATTGGCGCCCGAGGAAATAGAGGATTGGCTAAGGCCAGCGCAGTCCAAAATGTCTGCGCCCTCCGGCGTCGCTACTGTAGAATACCCGAGACAAATTATAAATAAGACTGGTCCAACAGAACAGGCTTTATTGACCAATCAGAAGCCAGAGCAACACGTAAGGCGTCTTCTATCCGAGTCCTCCACACTGGCCACGCCGCTCATTATATACTGCATCTCATCCATGTCCTCCTCTGGTTGGCTGCTTACCTTCCTCGCATGCCAGTGGAACGCAGAGCGACACAGGATTGGCTGCGGCCAGGTGATCTAATAGGCCTGCGCCCTGATCCGACGCCACACTGCCTCCCCCTTAGGAGTGAAGCTGTCCTCAGCTTCTCGCTTGGTTCACTGCACTGTTCATGAGTGGTAAGATATCCAGTTCGACACTTCCCGCACCCCACATCTGACTGGTTAGTGGCTCATGCAAATTGTTGACGAGGGACTGTGCTCTTGTAGACTTGCAGGAAGGACTCATCATCCATCGAAGGTCCATACGCAGATGCAGTACAGCTGACTTTCACTGTCCAAGTCGTCGTCGCTGAGTTGTCAATGCCTCTTCAGTTGCAGAAGTCCTAATCCCGGGCAATGTCTATGGATCCATTTTTTTGGACATCGGATGAAGGCAATGACAATTTCAGCTGGCATTCAAGGGTCTTTGCCTCTGTTGACCATAGCAGACAAAGGGATGGGGTCCGATTCGCGTAATTCGAACGCGTCCGCTGCCACCAATGTAGAATGCCCGAGCCCTAATAGGTAAAAGACCGGTACAACAGAACAGGCTTTATTGACCAATCAGAAGCCAGAGCCACGCGTCAGGCGCCTTCCATCTGAGTCCACGACGCTGGCCACGCCGCTCATTATATACTGCATCTCATCCATGTCCTTCTCTGGTTGGCTGATTATCTTCCTTGCATGCCATTGGAACACAGAGAGACAGAGGATTGGCGGCGGCCTGGTGATCCAACATGTCTGCGCCCTGATCCGACGTCACCCCACAGCCACACCACACCAATACACCACACCAATCCTTGCACTTCACTACTCAACACTCACACGCATGTTAGCGTCGAGTGGCTGTTTCACAGCGATCCTCGACAGTGCTATTCAATCAGCGTTACTACCCTGTCATGAAGAAGAAGTGACTGCGTCATACTGGAAAAAAATTACGTCAACCCTGACTGATGTTTTCAATTCCTTTATAGTCGACAGTTTGGAAAATGAATGCCTTTCTTCTCGTTCATGCATCCGTCTAATAATTTTGGCATGTGGGTGCATTGGGAACGATTTGTCAACTAAAAAACTTAGAACTGTTGATAAACGGCTTTCTTCGTTAGGTCAGGAGGTCCTTGAACGGATTAGTATTTATTTAAGCGCAGCTGGCACTGAAGATCTTTTTAAGAAGCTACTGCTTGATGACGATCAATGCAGTAAAACGTCAGTCTTTGACCTCTTCTTGCGTGAAGTCACTAGTTGTATCGCTCATCAACGCGTCGTTGAAAATGGTGATCTCATAAGCCGTGCTCCTTTATTCCGCGATGCGGTTGTTTGGGTCACGGACAAAGTTCACTACCCTGTTATTAGCAGTAGTCAGCATCTAAGTATTCTGCATCCTCTTGCTCTTCAACTTATGGAAGACTACCGGAGCCAAATAAAACTTTTGGGACTGCGGTTGCTTGCACATTTAGCGCAAGAGGTTCTGGTGGCGTCCTGGAGAAGCACGGGACGGGCCGAAGCAACGCTTGAAGTGTTGATTTGCCAACGGTTTGCACACTCTCGAGAAAAGGTAGGTTTCGTAACGTTCGACAAGACTTTTAATCGCGCTAAAGTCATCTGCTCCTTTTGTAGGATCTTATGGACTCCACATACAACTGTATATTTTTATGTTTACATCTGTTAGAAGAGACTCAACGAAAGGATTGGTATAACAGGATTTCAGACATTCTGCTTTGTGACCTAGCCCTCGAAGTGTGCTTCGAAAAGAAAATCGTTCTTTTAAAGAACATCGCAAGGATACTGGACGTGTTGGGCCGTGACGTGATGATCCATTCACGGCGCCTGCTAAAAGCCGCGGAAATCACTCTATTGGCCCCGCGCTCGCCAACCTATGTAAGCACGATTTTTGAATAATGCTGGAGAAACTAGCTTCCCTGAGAGTAGGATCCTGCTTAATTGTTTTGGTTAGCGATCGGGCCATTTCAGACATTCCCAACAAGTCAAAATTGCTACTCTCACATATGCTTTTGGCCAAAATTTTTAGTAACTTAATTTATTGGGATGTCTCTAGCGGCTGGCAAAACTGTTTTTCCTAACCTCATAGCGCGTTTTTTGGTCCTTAGAGTTCGCAGGAGCATGAATCTTTCCTACGAATGCTGGAAATTGTCCACAAGTTTGTTGTCCTTGGAGTTGACTGCCTATTCCCTGACCTTGTTGTCATGGTTTTACCAATGATAATTGCGTTTATTGACCTGGAGTGGAGTAGAAGACAAAATCAGAAAGATTCATCATCGCTAAGTGAATTGTCTAGAGTTCTCACTGAAATAATCAACAGGATTGTTGACGCTGACCCCATCACAATGAACAGCGCACTGGAAACCTGCTCTCAGTCCGTTCCAGCCATACGACTTTTCGTGTCCACATCTAGTTAGAAAGTCCCGTTCTGTAATTACGGTTCTTCCAGCATCTTACGGCAAGCAGTTTTATGAGGTGTTGAGGAAGCGAATTTTGATATATGTAAACCTAACTTATTGATTTTGATGATGGCGCAACAGAATGTGGCCCACGTTAAGAACATGGCTCAAGTACCTAAAATACTGACTTTTCGATAAACGGTACATCTAGGTAAAATCTGTCAAACGAGAAGCGCGTCAAATCGATCGATTTGTAGTGTCGATAATGAATGAGTTCGGCAACGGCTCTGCCAATGGGCACCGCGTGTTGGATGCCGAGACCGGAGGTGCCCGTCGCGAGGATCATGTTGTAGAGGTAAGGATGTTGGCCCAAAACAAGGCTCTGATCGAGGGTGTTATAATCGTTGAAGCATGACCACGCTGACTGAATTCGGGCCGTCGACATTGAAGGGACTCTCACTGAAAGTCGTGGCTGGATTTCTTCGTGATACTCGGAATAGTCCACCTCTAGGTCATCCGATACATCCTACAATTTTTAAAAATGGACACGAATATGTGTTTCGGGAATGAATTGGGGGCGGCTACCATTTGGGTGGTTTGCTGATTTTAATGGGCGCAAGCATTTTTACTCTATGGATGAGCAGGCGATCGTGATTTCGTAGGCAACAAGTCTAGGAGCTGTGGGCATTAATCATCCCCGTAGATCCAAAGGAGGTTTCTTTTCCAGTTCGGAGTAGGCTCCAAAAAATCTTATTACAGCGTTTTATTGGTCGCACAATGTCTTCAGGAAAATTATTCCAAACAAAGGAAAGTCTCGACCCAAAAAAAGTTGAGTAGTGTCAGGTGGAGTGCTCTTTCGAAAGGTCTGGTTTTGTTACGCATGCATATGATGAAGTAGGTTTGATGATTTTGCTCTGATGCGACCAGTACATGCTAATATATTACAAATGAAAAAGTTTATCTCACAGTCTCGACTTGGACCGGCCGAGTTGGGTTCATGCAAACTGCAAAGTCGCCTGAAAGGCCCTGTCGTTGGAGCATAAGGCCTTGGTGGTCAAGAACCACCGGCATGTCGATACCGGGGAAGTGAGTGGACGACTGAGAATAGTCCGGACGAATAATGAAAATTCCCTGCTTCCTGCACGGATGATATAGAAGTAAAGAAATAAAAGGGGTCAAAATGTAGCAAATAAACGCTTTATTATCAGAGGATTGGGGCTGCTATCTGCTTGGATTTACCATCATGCATATCGACAAGCTGTTGACTACCAGTGTCAACAGAATATTACCCGGAAGTCAGTTGCCCTAACCTAGCACATGCTGCTGATTTTAACAGCATGGAGGTTCGTATCTAAGGCCATGTTGGTATGTTGTAGAAAGAATTGGACGAGGGTTGTGGCGACATACCGTTTTTGAATGGGGAGAGGAATGACTCTTGCCTTTACCCCGGCCATGGCCATTTTCAAAATATCACCCGCCCACGGGCCGGCACAGTTGACAACTGAATGGAAGGCAATTTTCTCGACGGCACCTCCTGGAGTCCTAACCAAGACTTCACTGAGGCGCGGTGCCTCCACAGGGGCCCGCTTCGGTCGGTCGAGGAAGGAGGCGCGAGTCAGGTCCTTGAAGTAGGTGAAACCTACTACCTCACCGACCACAAAGTTGGCTCCGAAAACATGCGCTTTGTTCTTCAGCCGCCGCACTAATAGCCAGGGATCAAACCAGCCCTCGTTTCGGTCGCCTAAAGGGGATCAAATGAAGAACGTTGCTGGTCTGTTTTGTTTTGAGAATCATTGATGCTTTGGGGCAAATGCTGTGGCCGAATCCCCAATTACACTCGCTAGTTCGCAATTAGGGAATGGGGGTTTATTGACGACGAAGTGCAAACTTGTGAAACGACCAGTGGCGAAACAACGTGTCCTATGTGACTGATTCCAAAAACTAGCCACAAGTACTTCGCCATGACTCCACGACCAGGGCCCGAAAGTGGCTTTGATTTCGAAAAAGGATTTAGAGACGGAGATTACACCTCAAACTACCACACAAAGCAAATGGAAGAAATATACTAATCATCTGAGCCAAATTGTGTCCACGGACTTCATCCGCGACGTTTGCTCGATTAAACAGTCCCAAGATGATGGGAAGTATTATACAAGACAAACTAACCATGCGACGCTAAGTGAATGTCGTCCACATTGAGCCAAGGCCAGCGGGACTTTACTTTTTCTGGTGTCATCAGACGATTCGGAAGTTCAAGAGCCCTAAATTATAGGAACATAAGAAATGGTGACCTACGATTGCAACTGAAAATTCCTCCTCATTTGGTCAGCACCTTTTTCATCTGCCAAAAGCAAATGGCCGTGGGGATTGAAGTTTATTTCCGCGGTATCGTCTCCTACACAAAGTTGAAATTATCTATAATAAAAAATGCTGTAATTTTGCACACAAAGATCTGTGAAAATGATTTACTTGAGATTTAGCTTGAGGACGGACACTGGGTAACGGAATATTTGTTGGCGCCTAGTTCATCAACGAATAATATTTAAATGAGGACATCTCGGAAGTTACTCAGAAGCATGCAATTACAATGACCAGCAGGTTTAGCAATGAAAACGACGGGAGCCGGTAATTCTCAAAACTTTAAGGGACCGCCCAATGACAACGTACGTCAAATAACCGGTTCGTTAAATACTAGCACTGCAAATAATCGTGTGGTTTGGAAAGGGCACATGGCTCACGCGTGACGGAAAGCTGCTCTTCAATGTCGCGGATAAATTCGGCGGTAAAAAGAGACATCTGAATGTGCTCAGGTTCGGAAAATTGGGTGCGGAGGTTTCCAAGACCAAGAAGACTGGAAGACCGGGAGAGACTGGGGTCACGCTCAATGACAGTAACCGTTGTTTTAGAAAAATACCGAATCCAAAAAGCCACAGACCAACCGATAACCCCGCCTCCAATGACAACAACATCTGATCGTTTGGGGATCTGGTCTTCACGAACTAAAATCAGAAAGATAGACCTGAGGTTGCTGAACCAAATACAAATCAGTTTTCGGTAGCATACTTCAATCGGAACTTAAGGTATACTGTGGTAAGTAATACGGTAGTTATATCATACTTAGGGGGTTGTATTACCGATTTACTGGGAAACTCACATTGAAAGCCTGGCTGTGTAAACCTTTCTCCGTCTGCTATTGACGAGAACACCGGACAACCGAGTCGAAAAGGAATTCGGCCGGTTATGTACCTGATATACCTCCCTGATATATGTTGCATTAGGGCCCGTCGACTAAAAGAGAAGCTACTGAAAATAATTTGGCGCGAATGCTTGATTTAGCAAAACTAAGCAAAGCGCAGTTTAGGTCCTATATGTGCTAATTTAACTAATTTGTGATTGTATGAATACTTAGAGAAAAAAAAATAACGATCCCTCCAACGGAATCAATCGGTTCCAATAATAATGCTTGATTGCTAAAGTTAATTAAGGTACCATGCTCATCAAAAATAAACTAATGCGAAATTATTTAAAGCGTATGCGACAAGTAATACGACGGGCATTAATATAGACGTGCACAAATCACCCAGCAAAACATGTAGAAACTGATGTCATAAGTGTAAAGAACGTTGATATCAATGTAAAAATATATTTGAAAAGTAAGCGAGGTTAATAGCTAGTCCGTAAAAATAAAAGTTTCTTTACGTTCTGCATCTGATGAAAACATATACATATTGCCACTGAAGAAGTCATTACCAAAAAAGTGCTATAGCAAGGCGATGTGCGGTGTTTCGGTTGATGTGGTGTGATGCGTGGCGTCGGATTAGGGCGCAGACATGTTGGACCACCTGGCCTCAGCCAATCCCGTGTCTCTGCGATCCAATCGCATGCGCGAAAGGAAGGCAGCCAACCAGAGAAGGACATGGATGAGATGCAGTATATAATGAGCGGCGTGGCCAGCGCGGTGGACTCGG